GATTATAATAAAGAAAGATAGAATTTGTATAACTACAAAAGGTGGGGGTTACAAAGCCATGATAGAGTTGGTATTAAAATAATAAAGTTATTTTAATTAGTTTATTTTTAACAATCAAGGTTGTCCTAAAATATTGTTAGAGAATAATTCAAAAAATATATAACAAGCCAGACATGGTGGCATATGCCTGTAATCTCAGGGGCTCCAGAGGCTGAGGCAAGAGGATCTCAAATTCAAAGCCAGCCTCAGCAACAATGAGGCACTAAGCAACTCAGTGAGATCCTGTTTCTAAATAAAATACAAAATAGGGCTAGGGATGTGGCTCAGTAGTCTAGTGCCCCTGAAATCAATCCCTGGTACCCCAAAAATAATAATAATTAAAATGGTACTCAAAAAAAATCTATTTAAAGCAAAAGAAGGCACCAGGCACAGTGATGGACAGCTTTAATCCCAGCAGCTCAGGATTCAAAGTTCAGTCAGTGTACAAAAAAAATAAATTAAAAATAAAGACAGAAAATCTAGACCTGTTGGGTCTTCTGTACCATGGTACAAATTTTGGCTGTGACTCTATGAAATAGAAAGCACTGAAGGTTTCTGAGTGAGGAGTAGTATGAGAATCTTTAGCTAGTATCCTGAAAAGAAGAATGGCACAAGGATACAGCAAGGAGATGTTCAAGAGGTATATTAGGGCTGAGGATGTGGCTCAAGAGGTAGCGCGCTCGCCTGGCATGTGTGCGGCCCAGGTTCGATCCTCAGCACCACATACAAACAAAGATGTTATGTCCACCAAAAAATAAAAATAAATAAATATTTTTAAATTCTCTCTCTTTCTGTCTCTAAGAACTCACTCTTAAAAAAAAAAAAGAGGTATATTAGTTTCCCTGTTATAATAAACTCGAAGACTTAAAATAACACAAAGGCATGATAGACAAGAACTCCGCTAAACTACATCCCAAGCCCTTCACTACTAGGCATAACTGGCACATGCCGGCTGAATACCAACGTTCTCTTCAACTGTTGTTGTTGCTGCTCTTTGTTTGTTTGGCACCACAGATTGAACCCAAGGACACTTATCACTGGGCCACCTCCCCAGCCCTTTTTATTTTTTACTTTGAGACAGGGTCTCACTAAGTTGCTGAGGCTGGCATCAAACTTGCAATCCTCCTGCCTCAGCCTCTAGTGTTGCTGGGATTACAGGTGTGTACCACCATGCACAGCTCTCCAACTGTTTTACAGAATGAAAAAAGCATCAAAACAAAACTTACATGATACTGATTCACACAAAGAAAGAGATGTATGATGAACATAAAGATCAGTGTATACAAACAAATGTCAAGGATGGGGGCCATCCTCTCCAGTAGTTATATAAGCCCACAGACTAGTGCATTCAAGGAGTGACCCCTATCATTTCCTGTCTTTGCCCTGAAGAAACTGTCTCTTTTCTACTTACTTAAATAAATCCTACTCTTTTTTGGGGGGGTGGGGTGAGGGGTACTGGAGATTAAACTCAGGGGCATTCAACCACTGAGCCACATCCCCAGCCCTATTTTGTATTTTATTTAAAGACAGGGTCTCACTGAGCTCCCTTTTGCTATAGCTGGCTTTGAACTCGAGATCTTCTTGCCTCGGCCTCTGGAGCTGCTGGGAATACAGGTATGTGCTGCAGTTCCCAGATAAATCCTACTCTTCTATGCTTTAAAAAAAAAAAAAAAAAAAAAAAAGATGGGAGCCATCAGATATTTGACAAAGGCACCAAAAATATATCTTGGAGAAAAGATAGCCTTTTTATAAGGCTGGGAAAGATGCTAGGAAAACTGGATAGCTATATGTAGAAAAATGAAATTAGACCCCCTTCTCTCTCACCCTGCACAAAATTCATATCTAAATGGATCAAAGACTGAGGAATTAGATCAGAAACTTTACAACTGCTAGAAGAAAACAGGGTCAACACTTCATTACATAAATATAGGCACCAACTACCTTAACAAGACCCCCAAAGCACCAGAAATAAAAATCAAAACTCAATAAGTGAGATGTCATCAAACTAAAAAGGTGCACAGCAAAGAAAACAATTAAGGGCATAAAGAGAGAACTTACAGAATGAGAGAGGGAGGAGTATTTGTATATCCAGAATACACAAAGAACTTAAAAAACTTAACAAAAAGAATTGAATAACCCAATCAATCAATAAAAGAACTAAAGAGAAACTTCTCAAAAGAAGAAACACATGGCTGATATATGACAAAATGTTCAACATCTCTACCAACCAGGGAAATGCAAATCAAAATTACCTAAGAAGAGCATGGTGGCACGCACCTGTAATCCCAGTGGCTCGGGAGGCTGAAACAGGAGGATTGTGAGTTCAAAGCCAGCCTCAGCAAAAGCAAGATGCTAAGCAACTCAGTGAAACCATATCTCTCATTAACATACAAAATAGTGCTGGGAATATAACTCAGTGGTCAAGTGCCCTTGAGTTTAATCCCCAGTACCAAAAAAAAAAAAAAAAAAACAAAACAAAAAAAACACTACACTAAGATTTCATCTGACTTCCATCAAAATGGCAATGATCAAAAATAGGAACAAGAGGGACTGGAATTGTAGCTCAGTGGAAGAGCACTTGCCTAGCATGTGTGAGGCACTGGGTTCAATTCTCAGCACCACATACAAATAAATAAATAAAATTCCATTAACAACTAAAAAATATTTTTTTAAAATAGGAAAAATAAATGATGGCAAGATTGTAAGGAAAAAGGAACACTTGGACATTGTTGGTGGGTCCACAGACTAGTACAACCACTCTGGAAAGCAGAATGGAGATTCCTCAATAAACTAGGGATAGAACCACCATATGATCAAGCCATCTACTCTTTGGTATTTTTTCAAAAGATCTAAAATCAGCATACTACAGTGACACAGCCACATCAATGTTTATGGCAATCAATTCACAATAGCTAAATTATGGAATCAGCCCAGATGTTGTCAATAAATGAGTGGATTAAGAAACTGTGGAGGGCTGGGGATGTGGCTCAAGCGGTAGCTCGCTCGCCTGGCATGCGTGCGGCCCGGGGTTCGATCCTCAGCTCCACATACAAACAAAGATGTTGTGTCCGCCGAGAACTGAAAAATAAATAAAATCTCTCTCTCTCTCTCTCTCTCTCTCTCTCTCTCTCTCTCTCTCAAAAAAAAAAAAAAAGAACAGTTTAAAAAAAAAAAAAGAAAAGAAACTGTGGAGTGTGTGTGTGTGTGTGTGTGTGTGTAGAATGGAATATTGCTCACCTTAAAAATGAATGAAATTATGCAAATTAGTTTGCTGGTGGAGATGAAGGGATAGAAATGAAGACTATTATGCTAAATGAAATAAGCCAAACTCAGGAACTCAAAAGTTGAATGTTTTCTCTCATATACAGAAGCTACAGTAAAATAAAGGAAAGGGGAAGGGAAGGACAAGATAATATAAAGAACCAATCAAATATAAATTAATAGATAAGCAAAAGAAAGTCAAGTAGAGAAAGGAGAGTGAGAGGGGGAAGGAGGACAAGAGGAAAAAGGAGGGAATCATGAACTGAAATTGATTTCTAGGCATGTATGAGTTTGTCAGAAGGAACCTACTACTATGTATAACTATAAAGCTCTAATTTAAAAAAAATTAAAATGGAGGAAGTGCAGCAATACCATAAAGTCTGAGAATTCTTTTTCTATTTTTTTTCTTTGGTGGAGTAGGGGTACTTGGATTGAACTGAGGGGTGTTTAACTACTGTGCTACATCCTCAGTCCTTTTAATTTTTTTCTTTTGAGACAAGGTCTCACTAAGTTGCTGAGGGTCTCACTAAGTTGCTGTGGTTGGCCTTAAACTTGAGATTCTCCTGCCTCAGCCTCCAAAATTGCTGAGATGGGAATTCTTTTTTTTTTTTTTTCTGTATTGGGGATTGAACCCAGGGGTGCTTAACCACAGAGCTACATCCCCAGCCCTTTTTATTTTGAGACAGGGTCTTACTAAATTGCTGAAGCTGGTCTTGAACTTGGCAATCCTCTTGCCTTGGCCTCCTGAGTCACTGGGATTATAGGCATGCACCACCGCACCCAGATGAGATGGGAATTCTTTTCAAAATCCAAAACAGTACAATCTAGGAGCTATAGAAGCTCAGTAGTAGAATAATTGCCTGACATACTCAAAGCCCTGGGTTTGATCCCTAGCACTTGGAGAATCAGAGAGAGAGGAAGGAAATAAAGAAAAGACTAAAAAAGAAAAAGAGTCACCTGCATTCTTGCTACCCAAGACTGCTGTCATTTAATACTGACATTTAAATTCTTAGGGCACAAGCCTGATACTCTACTTCAGACTGTTGGTTCATTGAAATATCATATCACTATTAAAACTCATTCAAGGGACCAGAGATATAGCTCAATCTGCCTAGCATATGCAAGGCCCTGAATTCAATCCCTGGGAGGGAGAGAGGGGAGGGAGGGAAGGGAGGGAGGGAAGGAAGGAAGGAAGGAAGGAAGGAAGGAAGGCAGAAAGATAGAAAGGGAATGAATGAAAAGAGAAAAAAAAAAACTTCATTTAAGCTTAAATGAGTTTTCTTATAGCTTTTCAATCATCTACACACCAGCACAGTGCTGACACTAAGACTCTAATTCAGACTACCTGGTAACTCAGCTCCACCACTTACCAGGTGGGTGAACTTATACACTTAAAACCTCTGGATGCCTCCACCTTCTATATCTATAGAAAGAAGCCAATAATAGTACCTACCTGAGAAAGTTGCCATGAGAATTCAAAGAGTTGATTTTTATAGAGCACCTAAGAGTGACAACACTAAAGAAGCATTTGTGAAGTACATTTCAGAAGCACATAACAAACTACAACTTCAATTCCCAATAGGATCAATGCATGTTTTCTACAAAACAGTGTGCCTAAGAATCTTACAAACGGGGCTTGCAGTTAGATACAGGACTGTTCCTAAAGGTCTTAAACCAGATGGAAAGGGGAGAAAAATTACCTCATGAACTTGTCCAACACATCTTCAACCCACATGTGCATTCGGAGTGACTGAAATCCATAGCGCCAAACTAGTTTAATCATGTTCATTATAAACCAGCTGCTCTCCTCAAACACCAGAGTTTGTCCATCGTACACCCCCAGTAGGCCACCCGAAGCCTGAACAGTGGAGAGACCTGCAAAAATAGAGAAAGGGCAGCTAAGTCAGTGGTTTCCAGGCTGATCAAATGAAAGAAAACAATCCAGAGGTTGTCCCAGGAACACTGTGAATTTGGGCTTCCATCAATTCTCAGGAGATACATTAAAGGAGCTCTATTTAGAAGAGCATGATACACTAACACTCACTGCACTGTCCAAAAGCAGATTCCCTAGAGGATGGGTCAGAAAATCATGCAGATGTATCTTCATTAGACTGGCTGTTCTTAGTCACAGAGACAGAAGCACAGGAAGCACCCACAGGGGATGCACAAGGTAGCCAAAGAGAAGAGGCATTCCCATTCCAATTTTAATCTTCTTTTGCAAAACTGGATTTTTCAGGTAAGTGGAAGGAGGCCAAAATTTCACAATATTTCCTAAAGAAAGTGCCTGCAGAGGCCTGCCAGACTTCCTCCACAACCTGTCCAGCACCTCTGCTTGGCAAGGCAGCAGTGAAATATCCTGAGCAGTGAGCACATGTCAGCACCCAAAGCTGTGTGAATGACCTTAAGCCAGGCACTCCAAGCCACTGGGTCTCATTTCCTCAGCTGTAACATGAGTACTCTAAGGTCTCTGCTAGCTCAAAACATTCTCTGATTCTAAACTGAGAGGTTTAAGAATTGACAACAGCAGCTGGGCAGGGTGGCACATGCCTGTAATCCCAACAGCTGGAGAGGCTGAGGCAGGAGGACTGCATGTTCAAAGCCAGCCTCAGCAAAAAAGCGAGACACTAAGCAACTCAGTGAGACCCTCTCTAAATAAATTCAAAATGGGGAGGGGAGATGGCTCAATGATCAAGTACCCCCGAGTTCAATACCCAGTAACCACCCCCATCCAAAAAAAAAAAAAAAAAGAATTGACAACAACAGCCATCTTCTCAACCCCCATGGCTGTAATTCCAGATAACAGAAGATACAGATAACTAGTCTCCCATTACAGGAGAATGACTCCTAAAACAGCACCAACTGCTACCTGGACAGTAAGGGAAACTATTTCACCAACTTCTTTGTAAATGACAATAAACAAGGCAGAAAAGTTTCAGTTCTTCCTATGATAAAAATATCCAGGGTTGGTCATACTGAATTCTGCTTAGCTCCAAGACCAAAATTACATACCGAGGTCTTTGACAAAACGCTTCATGTGCAGATTTAAAGGATGTATAACAGAACCTCCTGCCTCATATTCTTGCCCTTCCACAGTCAGGGTGGCTAAACGGCCCCCCACCTCTTTTCTTTCAAACAGGTCAATCTTCACATCTTTCCCAAATTTCTGCCGCAGATAATAGGCTGATGAAGTGCCACCAATTCCAGCTCCAATAATTGCTATGAGAGGAAAGAAAGAAGTTTTTTTGTTTTTTCTTTTTTCTTACCAGTGTGGGTTTTGTTTTGCCTTCAAAAGGTCACAAGCTAATAACAGAGGTTATGCAAGGCTACCGTCAACAATTTAGGGAAGCCTGAAGGGGAAGGTTCTGATGAAAGAACTCCCAGAATGTGGACAGAGGCTGCTCCCAGTCAAATGCAGATTAAGTTACAAACTGACATCAATTCTTTTCCAGATGCCCAAAGATTCTCACAGGTCTGTGGAGGCACCAGTGGGCCTGCAAGCCCCTTTTCCGTGTCCCAACTCATGGATGCATTTTAAATAAAGGGGCCGCCATTTTTGCCTAGCTTTGTTCTTTGTCTCAAGGGTAGACTCAGTGTAGACAGGTTAATGATTCGGAATAAGAGAGCTTTAATTGGTGGGTAAAGGGACCAGAAGTAAAAAACCAAGACGACTGAAATGAGAAACAGAATAGATTATTTCGGCAGCTGCAGCAACCCTAGGCAAAGAAACTGGGTAATACCAGGGCCTCAGAGCAGGCCGACCTCAGCAAAGTGGAGAGGGGGAGAGGGGGTTTCAGCCTAACAAGGGAAGCAGACAGGGTTAGCTTGTTTGCACTGCTCCCTGTGCTGTGTCTGGGCGAGCCTGAAATCTGCTTGGCAGGAGCAGCCAGGCGTTCCAGGACCGGTCAAAAGACTGGCCTCCCGAAAGGGCAGCATAAAGGAAGGCAGCAATAAGGACCCTATCCTCCCCAGAGCCCCAGGCCTCCAAGACTAGGGCTGCAGGGACGCTTGGTCCCCATCACAGCCCATGCTTCAAGTGGGCATCTCTCCAAGCCCAGGAAGCGCAATCCGTCTTTAGGAAGACGGAAAGCTGACCACAGGTGTGAATCGGTCAAGGCGCGACGTGCCCGCTCTGCCTGAATCCTGGCTTTCGGACCTGGGCGCACTACGCTCCAGAGCCCTCCCGCGCCGCCCCCTTCTGGCCTACCGATCTTCTCCGGTGGAGCCCGCAGCTCGGCGCTACCGAGGCACCCCCAGCTGCACAGCAGCAGCCACAGCCACAGCAGCGACAAGCCGAGTTCCCCGGCGACGTGCCCCATGGCCTTCCCAAACGCAGCAACCGGCCTCCAGTTCCCTGCAGTCCCCACGCAGCGGCGCGTCTGCGCGCTCACTCGCCCCGCCCCTAGACTGCCAGGCCCTCCGAGCCCCGCCCAGGCTCGGCGCAGGCCCGCCCAGTTCCTCCCCGGCCACGCCCCTGACAGGCCACGCCCCTGCCCTGTCCCTCGCTTCCCAAATCCACCCCAACTCCGCATCCTAGGCCACTCAGTCCCCCAAGCGCGCTACGCTTCTCGGAAACCCACCCTCCTTCAGAAAAGATCCAAGGCATGGTTAGAAGCTTGCCCCATCTGTTCTTCCTCCCGATAAAACACCTTTCTTCGCTAGTGCGCTCTCTCGTCCCCTGGATCACACCATCACAGAGAACGCACACAGCTGTCAGAAACTGGCCAGGGGGGCAACAAATGCTTATTGAGTGATCACTTTATTCCAGGGCCTCATGAGACAAATGGGTAAATGGTACTGGGTGAAGAGAAAAATAAGACTGGCGATGGGGCAGTGCAAAGTGGAGGTAGCACAGTATAGTGACAGAAATGAATAAAAGTAGTGTATCTGTAAAAGCCCAGAATGTGCATCTCAAAATATGCCTCTTTGGCATAAAGATTATTTAAAGCTGAAGGCAACTGTAAAAATGTAGGTACAAGAAAAGCTCTCTGTCCCACCAAAATTGCCTAAAAGTAGGACACAAATTTTCAAACCCAAAGGTGTCTCTTCTTCCCTCTCTACCTGGAAGGATAAGAGTTACTTTCTGAAGACAAATTTAGATCTTTAAAAAAAAAAAATTATAGGAAACCATTAGTCTGGACAGAGTTCCTGCAATAGGTCCAATAAACCAAACCAAACCAAATGGAGTCACTCATGCTAAAGTTCCTTGCCACCAAGCTGAAACTATGTTATCTGACCGGACTTCCAAGAAATCAGGAGAGATATAACACAGCTAAATTTTCAAACAGGCTGGTTATAGCAGACAAGAGAAAGAAGTTCTCTTTGCTTTAATCTTTCAAAGAGAAGTAACTTTGAAATTACTAATATGCTTTTTGTCCTCTGTTTCTGCTTTCCTCAGCCCTTTTCTTTCTATAAAGCCAACCTCCTCTGGATATTGGATATTCATTGGATATTCATTCTATTTTACAGAATGAGGCATTTCCCAACTCTAGAATCACAAATAAAAGCCAATGGAAGGGGCTGGGATTGTGGCTCAGAGTGAGAGCGCTCGCCTCGCACGTGTGAGGCACTGGGTTAGATCTTCAGCACCATTTAGAAATAAAGGTATATTTTTAAAAAGCCAATGGAAACCTTTAAATTTGTCATAATTTTGTCTTTTGGTAGGCTTTAATCAGCCATGACCAGAGGAATCTATATCTAACTTTATCCAAGAGCTTTTCTCTACCATTTATTTGTCTTCCCACAATCTGCTGCCCCTAGAGACTCAAAAATCCTTTTCCTTGTCTTGTCATTTCTTTTAAAATGTACTGTTCTTAGGGGCTGGGGGTTGTGGCTCAGTGGTGGAGCACTTGCCTGTCATGTGAGAGGCACTGGGTTTGATCCTCAGTACCATATAAAATAAATAAATAAATAAGGGTATTGTGTCCATCTACAATTAAAAAATATTTTTTAAAAAAATTTACTGTTCTTCACTGAAGATGCTATAAACCTGAATTCAAAGTCACCTCTTAGATATTTACTCATTTCTCTGGGTATCTTCTACATATACATGTGGTAAACATTTTGTTCATTCTTCTCTTGTTAATCTGTCTTTTGTTACAGGGATCTGTACGAATCAAGGAGAAGGACACTAATCAGAAGGATAGAGGAAAAAATATTTTTTCCTCTCCTACATACTAATGTTGTTAACACAAGAAGACCAGGATGAACGCAAACTTCACAGATCAGATCAGCACTTTATTCAGGAACAAAGTTTAACACAGGAACAGGGGATGCAGGGATGAAATGATGCCGTGGTGGGACCCACTTTCCTAGTGGAAAATGAGCCCCTGAAATGGGAAGGGACTGGACTTATATAGGTTATCCTGAGAGGTGGTCTAATGAGCATACCAGTTTTCTTGGGCACCCAGGAATTTGGGGGTTGTTCTGTAAGTGAAGGGGTCAGTTTGAGTGCTGAGAAATTTGAGCTCTTGGGTCAGGGGTCTGTGCTCCGCATCTGGAGAGGATTTACTCCAAGGAAGGTCAGTGCCCCTGAGAGGCTATCACCTCAGTGTGAGGAGACATCTCTTTCCTGCCTGCAATTAGCATCAGAGAAGCATTTGTCTTGGGAAATGAAAGCTGTCAATGCATGGCTTTCTTTTTACTCCCTTTTTCTCAAGCCACATTATTTGAGGGATTCTTCATTTTCCATCTATTAGATGCCATTCAGTAGAACACTATGCATTCATTAATAAGAATGTCTGGTCTATAACTATTTTCCCAATATATTAGTTCAGGAAAACTGGTGGCTGAGTGATGCTTATAAAATGAGCCCATTTCTATTATTACAATACTTTTACCCAAAAAACCAAACTAACTGACAACTATAAGAGCATAAAGATGGGTTGGGATTGTGGCTCAGTGATAGAGCGCTTACCTAGAATGCATGAGGCACTGGGTTCCATCCTTGGTGCCACATAAAAATAAAAACAAATAAAATAAAGGTATTGTGTCCATCTACAACTAAAAAAAATGAACAAAAAGAATGGACTGGATGGGAGGAATCTGAGTTGGATACAAAGAAAAGTTTAGCTTAGACCCAGAGTAGAAAATTCAGAGCAAAAAGCATTTATCCATTAAACAAATGTTGTGTTCCATTCTAAATGGTCTAGATATTTTTGAAAATCAGACTCTTTAAAAACTAAAAGCTTGGGGTTGGAGTTGTAGCTCAGTGGTAGAGCGCTTGCCTCGTATGTGTGAGGCACTGTGCTCAATTCTCAGTACCACATATAAATAAGCAAATAAAAGGTCCATCAACAAGTAAAAAGAGGGGGCTGGGGATATAGTTCAGTTGGTAGAGTGCTTGTCTCGTATGCACAAAACCCTGGGTTCAATCCCCAGCACCACACACACACACAAAAATTCCTCTAATGAAGTTGATATCCCAGTGGGAATGTGGGGTAGTAATTAGAGTAAATAAGTAAATAGGTAAAAGATCTAATATAGAGACTAGGGTGAGAGGATTGGGAAATGGGTTGCAGTTTTAAATAGGATGGTCAGGGTTAGCCTCATTGAGTAGGTAGCACTTTAGCAAAAATTTGTAGGATATAAGAGAAGCTAAGAGATGCCTTGCAGATTTGAGGGTCAACAAGGAGGCTAGGCTGGAGAAGTCCCTGGGGCTGAGTAAGGGAAATAAGTATAGTGCCTAGGGCAAGCAACAGATTCCAGTTCTTCAAACAATGGTCCAAGCCTAACAGGATTGACTATCAGAGCAACTCATCTACTCAAAGAAGCCAACAAGGAGTATTTGCTGGGTAGTACTGCAGAAGAAAAAGCAACAGTTCAGCAGTGGCTGGAGTAAAGGGTCATCGAGTAGATAGACACCCCTAGTTAAGAGGATATCCACACTCTGTTGAAGGATCTGAATTTGTATCTTGAAGATAAAGTCAACCTTACAGGATAAAACTTTAACTTAGCAGATATTCTACTGTACTATGGACTTCATCGCTTTATAGTTGACCTGACAGCTCAAGAAAAGGAGAAAGATCTCAATGTGTTTTGCAGGTTTTGTCACATTTAGCATTACCCAGGCGTCAGGCAACATCTGTCTAGTGTTGTCTTCATCAAGAACAGACTATACACTAACTCCCACTAGAAGTCACCATGCCACACACGGAGTGATTAAAATGTCTTAAATGGAAAGTGCATCTGGACCATAGTACTAATGTAAATTGATATGCTGTCATTGTTTATTTGTTGGTAGAATTTTTGAAGTGTAAAACTGTGTCTGAATGTTTTATTTGTTCTTTAGTTGAAGTTTTGCAAATTTTGATGTAAAAAAATTCAACTGCTGTCCCCCCAAAAATCAAGTGAAATCAAGTTATAAATTACCTGGTTTTTAAAAGATTAAATTTATTTTAATAAAAGTTGCAAATCAGTGGCCTATCTTTTTAAAAAAAGGCAGTACTTTCAGTGGTTGATGTACTTGGCTATTTATTAACCTCTCTTTCATATTTTAAAATTCTTTTTCCTATGGATATTTACCATACTTTGTTTATTAAAAACTGTGATAACTTATCCCAAGGATTGAGAAAGGGAAGACAGATGTATTTGATTTAAATATTTATGTGAGCTAGTAAACGTGGCTGAAAAACTCAAAAAAAAAAAAAAAAAAACCAAGGAGGCTAATGGAATAGAATAAGGAGGACAGGGTGGAGGTGTTAATGGAAGAGATGTAGGTATTAAGGAAATAAACACATATTTAAGAACATAACAATATCAAGATTTTTCAATATCTTTTTTACTACATCTTTTTTTTTTAGAATTTTAATACTTATTTTCTTAGTTTTCGGTGGACACAACATCTTTGTTTGTATGTGGTGCTGAGGATCGAACCCGGGCCGCACGCATGCCAGGCAAGTGCACTACCGCTTGAGCCACATCCCCAGCCCTTTTCACTACATCTTGATATTACAAAGAAAAAAACTAAACCATCTTTTACTTTCCATTTTCAAAATTATATTATTCCTATAATACTTCAGGGCATTAAATACAATAGGCCCTCAATAAATGTTTACTAGTTGATTAGAACTGGCCATGTAATTGACTGGCCCAAGGGTTGTATTTGGAAACTGATCTCTGATACTGAAACCTTGTGAAAGAATTGACTGAATGGGCATTTCAATGAAGACATACCTTAGAAAAATTTGCAAAATGGGAGGCAGAAGGCTTTTTCATTCTGCACCCTTGCCCTTTCAAAATAATGCTTATTTTTTTTAATATTTATTTATTAATTTTAAAGTTGTAGTTGGACACAATATTTTTATTTATTTATTTTTATGTGGTATCGGAGTTTGAACCTAGGGCCTCGCCTGTGCTAGGCAAGCGCTCTACCACTGAGCCACAACC